TTGATAAGAACCTTTTGAGTGCCTTACACAATGGTTTTCTTGTGCATTAATTGTCAAAGTGGTGAGAGGCATCCAGTACCTTGAAGACATTTTTGTCCGCAAGATTGCATATTTGTGGAATTCATCTTGAATAGTTAAAAAATGCTTAGTACAAAGAACCCCACAAACATCATTTTCTACACCAGTTTAAGATAACGTTTGACTGACATGCATAGCTAACATGGAAGTACTGTATTCTAACTGAAATTGTTGTACAAACAACACACCAATTTCTGCAGTCGCCGTTGTCAGATCTCTGATTCATAATGACTTAAGCACACTTGACATCAATTGCATCAAGATGTGACGTGTTTTATAAGAAAAAAATTAAAATTGAAAAAATATTTTTAGGTATTTTCACAGACAAACTGGCTTTTAAATAAATTTGCTTCCATTATGGTTGATGAAACAAGAATTTAAACTCTGGAGAAATGGAAAATCAACAACAAACAAGATTTAGATATTAGTATCTGTTTTTCAAAGCCAAATATGTAAATGCTGGGGAATAAAATACAAAAATAAACATTCAAAAACATTGTAATTTAATATTGTTCTTAAAAATTTACTTAATATCTATTCTTTAACATTTGGTGTTAATATTAAATTACTTGCAAATGCTCAACATTTGAAATAAACTCTTTTCTATGGTTTTATTTGCAAGTAGTCCAGTTAATTTTGCTAGTTACAGTTTGATTATAACGAATTTAAAATGTAAAAGGATATTGTCAAGGTTGTCAGAGAAAGTTCAGCTACTCTTAATCTTTGTGGTAAAATTGCTATATTTCATTTTGAACACAATCCATACTTCAAATGTGAGTTGTTGCTTGGCCATCTATTTCCCAGCATACTGTCTTTGAATTTTGATTCACATTCCATTGCTGTATACATAAAGCAATTTCTTACAGTTTATCTTGATTTAAAGTAGTATGGGTCCTTTGAAACTATTCTGATAGGATCTGAAAAAGGCAAACAGAGGCCAGGAACATTCTGTACTAAACCAGAAATGAGAAACTGAGGTTAAGAATGTACTAAATACAATTATCATAATCTCCATATCATAGAAAGATCTGTAGTTAGTAGGAGAACAGAAAGAGAAAGATTGATTTTGAGTTATTTCTACATTTTGCTGTTGATTCTTAAATCAAAAAGTAAAATTTCCAGAGATATCTATATAACGTTTTGGGTAATTAATTTTCTTCTGGAGAAAGGGGACAAAACCTTGACAATGTTCCTTTATGTTCATTTTCATAATAACCCTAAGTTTTGAAATAGAGTTCTGTATTTGTAATAATAAATGGATTTCAATTAATCATCTTTACAGTGAGTGCTTTTCTAGTATTGTTTTAAGTAAGTTGGCCCACCTTTTCATTAGAACAATTTTAGATACAACAGGTCTACTGGAAATATTATTCTGTAAGAGTGGTGCTGCTATATTCTGAAAATGCAACAAGAGCTATTATATAACTTTGTATTCAGCCTTGTTATAAATTACTCAGATTTAACTAAAGAGCTTTTTTCTGGGATTGCCCTTCTCCTTTAATGTACATTTATTTTAAAAAATATTATGAGAAAATAATTTGTCATAAATTTGTCATAAATTTTAACCCTCACCCCTTTTTTGGTAAATACTTACATGCCACATTCACATACTGTAAGCCCACTGATTCTAAAACATATTTCTGTCAAATTCCAGTAATGTTGCATCACTCAGAAGTGTGATGATACAACCTATAGCTGTCCTGTTCATATCTAAGTAGGAAAGTGAATATTGTCCAGCTCAACAATGATAAGTTAAAATAACATGTGCATACCATTCCCAACCAGTTTTCTTTGACAGAAACAATCATTTCACTCCTGCATTCAAGAAAATATATGTTGATTGTATCTTGGGCCTACTTCTCTTAAAATGTCATGTACAAATATTTCTTTGTCAAGCCTGAACTAATGTATATAAAGAAAATATTGTAAAATTATATTTTCATGTTTTTATACCTACCAATATGATGAGAATGCATACTGTATTGGTATTTCAGTCTTCAAATTACCAATAATGTTGATTGGATAATACACATCTCATTTTTAAAACAAGTTAATCATACTATCCATGTTACAACACACCAGTATATATTGCTATATAAATATTCTGTGTACATTTAAGTGGAAAAAATAGTGATGAATGATGACAGCTGTCTTAAGGTTTTTTTAAAGTTCATTTTATAGAGAACTCTTATGGAACAACAAAAATGTCTGTGGGCTAATTCTTGTGTAAATTTCAAAATGTCCTTTATTGTATACTTTTGTTTATACGGTATGGTATTTTGATTTCTGCTTTGTTAAATGGGTATCAGTACAAAGCTGATCATACACTTTTAAAGGCTTCTAAAGCCAGGATCATTTCTAGTTTTTCATGTGTACTTATATATAAAAAATGCTTCTGATTTTATTTTTGAATCCAACACATGATGGCTTTTCTGAAGTGTTGTACAAATTTCAATCATATATAAACTTCATTCTTTTTTTAAAAGGCAATAATTATTAAGTGATTTATTTAGTATTATTTATATTCTGTTTTGACCTTTCATAATTTTATTAAAAAGAATTAAAACTGCTACTAAAGAAGAAATACATTATCTTGAAAGGAATTTTTGCTAGTGGCAAAAATAAGAACTAATTTGGCAGAAAAAAGTAGATTATTGTAGGCATTCTAAGAAAATAAATCAGTACAAGTGGGGTAAGAATTTGTTCAGTTATTAAATGTGCTCTAGAACTATAGAAGAAGATGCCTGTAAATTGGACTAGTAGATTAAGTCAGGGCTTTTCAACCTTTTCACCAATTGTACCACTTTTAGGATATGGCAATATTCAAGTACCGCCTAGCAAGGTGTCAAAAACCTGAAGACCCCCCAAAAGGAAAAAAGTGATAAAATACAGATAGTCCTCGACTTACAATAGTTTGCTTATTGACTGTTCGAAGTTACAACAGCACTGAAAAAAGTGACTTATGATCATTTTTACACTTATAACCATTGCAGCATCCCCAAGGTAACATGATTTACATTCGGATGCTTGGCAACTGATTCATATTTGTGATGGTTATAAAGTCCTGGGGTCATGTGATCCCCTTTTGCAACCTTCTGACAAGCAAAGTCAATGGGAAAACTAGATTCACTTAAGAACTGTGTTACTAATTTAACTATGGCAGTGATTCACTTAACAAATGTGGCAAGAAAAGTCATAAAATGGGACAAAACTCATTTAACAAATTTCTTCCTTAGCAGCATAACTTTTGGGCTCAATTGTGGTTGTAGGTTCAGGACTATCTGTACACCCACTTACCACACTTTTAATGGGAAACTTGTGCCTGTTTCTCTGACATTAATCTTTGCACTGTTCTATCCCCTTCTCTCCTTCTGGTTGACTCAAAGAAGCTGATAGGTGATTGCAGGGGCTTTGGGGAGGCAGCTTTTGCCATTTGAAGTGGAAGCATGGGTGTGTGTCGGGGTGCTAGTTGGCTATTCCCCAAAGATTCCCTTAAAACAGCTCTTGGGTGGCAACAGTTACCCAGCACAAAGGGCTCAGGAGAAAAAGATGCCAGAAATGCTAACTCCCAAGAATGAGGGGCAGTTACAAGCATGGGGGGGGGGGGGCAAAGAAAGGAAATCAAACCTGATTGACAGGGAGCATAGTAACCCTGCCTCTATTCTGCAGAAGGCAGATCCCCATCATCCCCAGCCCGGCAGGGGTTTTTCTACTGCACTGATGCAGACAAAGGGGGACTTCGGTGAGGAGGAGGTGGAGGAAGAGGGTTTAAGTAAGATTAGCTACTGGAGTGAGGATCCCCCCAAAAAACAAACGTGCTTCATGGGTAAACTCCCAGCATGACAGAAGTGACCAAAACCTACTGCATCCACCCAGCAGACAGGCGGGGGAGGGAATAAAAACCAAACAGCCCCCCCCACTGCCAATCCTCAACAGAAATGCTTAGGACAATGAAAACCTTGGACAAGAGGAAGAGCGTGGCCGGGCGGGCAGGTGGGTGTCTTGCTCAACTGTGGCTTGGGGGGGGAAGGGGCAGCTTCACCCCCCAAACACTGCCCTCTCACGAAAGCAGGATAAAAACTTCAAAAAACGACAAGGAAAAAAGATTAAAACAGAAGAGTGTCTCTTCTGAACAAGTAAAAAAAAGATCACATCTGCATCCAGCTCATGGGGGTGGAGTGGGGGATTTTTATTTTTTGCCTCGTTTTGCTCTTTTAAAAAGACTGTGTGCCCCCATGCCAGAAGCCGTGTGCCATCACCGTTCTCCTGTGCGCTCCCCCAGATTCAAAGCCCTTCTTTCTCTTCCTTTGAAATAAACAACCCCCCCCGAAACCTCCCTTCTGAATTACAATGAAAGAAAGCCAAGTTTTTTCTTTTGTAGTCTTTACATATTTAAACTGCTAGAAGGAAGTGGGGAAGCAAACCATCGCGAGACATTCTTCTGTTTTAACCTTTTTTCCTTGTCATTTTTTGGAGTTTTCATCCTGCTTTCGTGAGAGGGCAGTGTTTGGGGGGGGTGAAGCTGCCCCCTTTCCCCACAAGCCACAGCTGAGCAAGACACCCACCTGCCCGCCCAGCCGTGCTCTTCCTCCTGTCTGAGGTTTTTGTTGTCGTGAGCATTTCTGTTAAGGATTGGCAGCGGGGGGGGGGGTTGTTTGGTTTTTATTCCCCCCCACCTGTCTGCCTGGGTGGATGCAGCAGGTTTTGGTCACTTCTGTCATGCTGGGAGGTTACCCATGAAGCACGTTTGTTTTTGGGGGGGATCCCCACTCTGGTTGTTAAACTTGCTTAAACCCTCTTCCTCCATCTCCTCCTCCTCACCGGAGCCCCCCTTTGTCTGCAATGGTGCAGCAGGAAGACCCCTGTCAGGCTGGGGATGATGGGGATCTGCCCTCTGCAGAGTAGGAGCAGGGTTACTATGC